AATACTTTTTAATTATTACAGTTCAAAATGCGCTATTCAAATTAAATTTATTCAATACAATTGCCGTCACATTTTAAATTTTGTGTAAATATTTATTTATCATAAAATTTATAGAAAATAAATCAGATTTTCTGATAGGTGTTTTTTTTAAATAAAACAAGTTTACTCATATTTTAAGTTTTCCTTTGATATCATTTTTTAAACCTATAATTTTTTCACTCTTTTTTACTCAAAATATTCACGCGTCATGAAATATAAATGCTACCGATAGGTAAATATCTTTTGTGAATCGAATTTCACTGTTTTTTTTCTACATTAAAAAATTATTGTACTTGCAAATTATAAAATTAATATATGATATGCTACACTGAGAAAATATGTAGTTAAAATTACCAGAATATGGTAACTTTTACTGTGTTTCTTGATCAATAGAAGCAAAGTAAAATAAAAAATTAGTAATTTTCATCGAAGTGCTTCGGTAATGATTTTGGTAAACATAACAATAAAAAATGCTTTTATAATTTTTGATAACATTTCATAAATCTGGTAAAATTTGGCTATATTATTATAATAGCAATTATTTTGATTAACTCTACTTTACAATTTTAAATTCATTACTAAATGTGTAGTAATAATAACTTTAATTTTAAAAACTAAAATTTCTGGTAAATTAGCTCCCCATGGATGTGAAAATTACCAAATGAATGGTTTAATTACCGTATATTTTGGTTTTATTAACCATATTTTTTTTCTATAAATTTCACTAAGTACATTGTCATGATTTTAATGGAATTTTTTTTCTCCGTGTAGTATTGTAGTTTAATGTGCTTTGCTAAGTTCATTTTATCATTATATGGTTTAATGTTGTTTGTAAACCTTATATTTATATTCCAAACATTTAAGCAAGCCTATTTATAATTGCAGTTATTCATAGCTAAAAAAATTCCAAAATTCCACGGAGCATGAAAAAAAAGCATTTTATTTTTCTTGATCAAAATGGGATCATTTTGATTACTCGTATTTGCTGAAATGACAAAACAAATTATACTAATTAAGATTTATTTAATATGGAGATGAGTTTTTTTCTAGATTTCTCTGGAAAAAAAGAACATACTGATGTTTAAATTTCTAATAATTATATACTTTCTTATTTGAATTTTTTTTGTTTCAAAACAAGTAATTTTATTCATTTGTTATGCACTGCAGAGGTATCTTATTATCTTTAATTATAGGACACTTCACTCAAATCTTTTATTAGTTCGATATACATAAATGAATGTATCTATAAATTATATGGCAGTGCAAAATGAAATAACTTTTTTTCTGCTTATAAATTACTTCAATAATTGCTTTCTGTTTTAAAATGAGATATTGTCTTTCATTCTGTTTTAATGTAAAATTATTTATGTCACACAGTCCTTGTATGTGAAAGGATATCAAGGATGAAGAATTCTATCATATGATACGGACTGTATTTAAAATATAGTTTAGCGGTGTAATGGTTTAAGGGAGATGTATGGAAATCGGGGACTTGTAGGACTCTGATTCCAGTAGAGTAAAAGTGATTTGATATTATAGAAATTCAAATTAGAGTTTAAATTATGTAAGCAAAATTATTACTCGAATAAATATGTTGAAATTTTACGAAACATATTACACTATGGTGTAATAACTATCCGAATTAAGTGCTAAAAAAGGTGGGAATGATTATTTTATTTCAAGTTGATAACAAATCGACTGTTTATACACAATTTAAAGGACATAGTTATATCCTTAAACCAATAATAAATAAATTCAACAAGTTCAAATGTTTTTACTTCATCCATGACTGGCAACAGGACAAGGATATGTTTTCATCGTTTATGATTGTTCTGTAATTTTTTTGGAAAATGAAGTTAAATTGTATTTTTATTTGAATTGGAAGTGATATAATCGATGGCAGAAAACTCCAGCTTTATATAATGAGTGAGTTCCCTTAATTATCAAAATTAATTCTGAAAATATGAACTCTTTTAATTTTCGGCAGGCATCAATTGGCGAACTTGGTTTAGCTATCAAAGAGCAGTTTTCAAGATCCTAAATAATTATTTAAAAAGTAACTTACATGACACAGTAACTTATAATACTATTTACATGAATTTGCCAGTTGTGTTTAATAATTTTGTAATAAATGCAAAATAAAATTCTTACTGTGCTGTGCTCATATTTGATTAACTAACTAATTTTATTTTAAGAAAAATTGCGTATATGCATTTTAAATTAATGATTTTTACTTTATTTTGTATATCATAAATATCATTATTTTGTATCATTTCTAAAAGCTCAACTGACTATTTTGTGTATCATATCTTAGAGTAATTATAAATTTTAGGGTAACTGAATAACAAAATATAGTATCGGCTACTTTACACCAATGAGTATAACCCCCTTTTTCTATTCAAATATAATCATTTACCTTGAAAAACTCTTTTAATACTATCTGAATGAAATGCACACAACTTAACTCAATGAATCACTTGAAATATAAAAACAAATTCTTGAAATTCCAATGTTTCGTAAATGGAACATTCTGTTTTTAACTGATGCCTAGCAGTCCATAATAAAATAGTGGTCCATAAAATAGTAGTCCATAATAAAAAATGTATTTTTAGTGAACTATATCACAAGCTGGATAAATATTTTCAAATTATATCAAATTTCCTAAATTCATGAAATAATCAAACAATTAAGGAAACTGATCCAAAGTAAATGAAAAAAAAAATACTTCGAAATCTAAAATTATTAAAAATTATATCCCTCTGACATTAATTGCTGGTTAAATTTAAACTTAAAGTTCCATTTTTGGATCATTGGCGGGTATGCGGTTTTTACCGATTTACAGGAAAACCTTACAGAAAACTATTGAAACTATTCCAGAAATCAGGATTCAAAAGTAAAACAATTCTAAGTTTTTCCAAAAACTAATTTCTGAGCTAGAAATATGCTACAAATACTTCAAAAGCAATGAAAACTTTTTATCTCATGAAACGACAACTAACTATTTCTGAGATATTAAAACTTTCAGTCACCTTAAAGACGAAGCAAAAAAAGTGAGATAAAAGACGAAACGAAAGTAAAAATAATTGTTCGTAAAAGAGTTACAATCCAAGTTATAATTCAATTGCAACTTTTGTCCTTTTAGGTACTAAGGTGAAAAAAGAAAACACACATACTTCAGTAAACCAAGAGAAGTGACTGGGGATTTTAAAGTGAAAAGAATTTCTTTTAACATTCAGTACCGATTCCTTTAAGAGGTTTTAATTTGGAAAGAAATGCTGATTTTTTTAAGGGAGAGTTTGGTTTCGTATCTAGAATCATGTATTCTAATAAAAGTAACTATAAGTATAATAAAAGTAGCTGGAACTTTCTTATTTCATTAAAAATCAATTTGTCTCAGTTTCTTCTATTTTTTTAACTATAAGATGCTTTTTTAAATAGAATTCTAAAAATATTATAAAAGAACAAAGAGTTAACGCATGCTTTGAAAAAAAATATGAAGTCGTTTAATTGTTATGTTATATAAACGATTATAGGTTGGTAAAAAAATTATTTAATTTGTTTATTTAGTTCTTTCTTTTTTTATTTTCAAACAATCAGTTCAATTTTCATTAACCCTGATGTCTCGAAGGTTGCCAATATTTTATCATGTTTTTCTTTATTCTTTTGACATTTAGAATTATTGAATTTTCAATACTTTTATTTAAGAAGAAAAAAAAATGTTTTGATTCTAGTCTCTGATTTTATGTTACAATAAAAATAGGTAGGGGAGAGTGGGGTCAGTTGTAACATTTTTTACTTAACTATTTTTAACTAACAAAAAATCCAATATATTATTATTATTAATTGACAGACGAGTAAAGTAGACTATCCTCTACTAAAAAAAAAACCTTATTTTAAATGTTGCTATATTAGTTATTAAAAATTTTTGACAGTCGTGCACTTGTTACAATTGTCCCCACTTACGGGGTCAATTGTAACAGTTAATTATACATATTATCATAGTTGTGATATATTTTTTAATTGATCAAAATAGTAGTGAGATTTTTGGAGTAAAAATAATAATGAGCAAAATGGTTAAACTTTTAACTTTAAGGGGAAAAAATTTTAATTTATGCTGTGAAAGGTGACAAATAAAATAATGCACATGCAACATAATATAAATGATATAGGAAACTATTGGTGGTTCTTAAAGAGTTAAGTAATGGTTTGTAAACATAAGATTATTTATTTTCAGCTGTTGCAATCGTCCCTTTACTTATTGTTACAATCGTCCCCAAGACGCCATTTTCGCTTCATTTGTTAAAAACAATACTAGTTAATTAACAAAACAAATCTTTTCTTTTAAATGTTAATTAAGGTGTCCACTTACATATTCGGTTAATAATTTTGATTTGTTTAGACAAAATTACTTTGTAACAATATAATATTCTAATACCAAAAGAAGTACTTACGTAGCGTGAAAATATCTTTTGTGATGTAACTCTTTCAAAAGTACATAAAAATGGTTGCCAGCAGGGGTGTACATGTTGATTTATTAAATACACCTAGTGCCCCACCTAGGAACCAAATCTAGAACCCGACACTCGAAAGTTTTGCTCTGTTACAATCGTACCCTGTTATTATTGACCCCACTCTCCCCTAGTGTTCTCTGATTTCCGTTGCAACTTAATTTTTCAACTATATGATGATTGGATGCACAATACCAAAGATTTGATTAAATAAATAATAAATAAATAATCCCAAAGAGCAAGAGTGGAAAAAAATATTACTTGATTAAAAATTATCCTCAAAAATATACAGATTGAAAATAACAGTCGACATGTTTCAAGCGTTAAAAAATAGGTGAGCGTTTCAAGACTTGCTAAAAGTGAATGAGAAGAAACAAAAGTGATTTGAAATATAAAACTTAAAGTTACCAGTGAAAAATAGAGAAGAAAAACTAGAGAAATCTGCTGTTGTTGTTGTTGTTGCTTATCCTCTAATTGTCTGACGAGGTCAGACAAGATCCAGTAAGTTGTTGACCCTCAAAAAGTCGATTACAAGAAGTGGAGAAGCATATAAGTCCTCCTTGGAAAGGCCCAAGCAGTCGAGGATATGTTCTGCTGAGGCCTGCTGGGCTTCACATTTAGAGCAGACTGCATAAGTCTTTCTTCCTTTAAAGTACGAGAGACTGTTCGTGTGTCCGCTTGCCAGTCTGGAAATAGCTGTTTGAGATGCTCTATCACCTACATGAACAAGTGAAGAGCCCGGTTCCTTGGCCGCATACCAATGATGAGAGGGAGGGATCCTCCACTTTTTTGATAAATGGCTTTTGATTTTGGATTGATACTCAGAAAAGGTAAGGGCTGAGGACGAAGATGTTAAATGACTACAGCCCTCCTTGGCCAAGCGATCCGCTTGCTCATTTCCAAAGATGTCAACGTGGGATGGTATCCACTGAAGATGAACGTCGTGGTGCTTTGAAATAAGTTGAAGTTTAAGAAGGATGGAGATGCTTGTTTTGTCTCCAACTTTAGTCCAGTTGTGTAGGTGTTGAAGGGAGCTGCGACTGTCCGACAGGATCCAAAGATCTCCAAAGTCACTCTCGTTGATTATAGCATCGATGCCCTGTTCAATTGCGATTAATTCACTTCGAAAGACTGAAGTGAAATCAGGATTACGGAGACAGATGGAGTAATTTAGCTCAGATTTTTCAATGAAGACGCCGCTACCCGCTAGGTTTCCGAGTCCACTACCATCTGTGTAAATTTTTACGGCGTCACTGGGAATCTCGCCTAAAATTTCCAAAGCTAGCTGCCTAAGTTCAGCTGGAATAAGATCTTTCTTTGTGACCGGAGCAGAAAAGTCGAAGTGGAAATGGACTCGGGGGATTCCCTCTGAAGGATTCAGACAAGATTTTAAGGAGTGGGGCTCAACGTCTTCAGAAGGCAAATGCAGAAGTTCAGCATGACTGAATGGACTGTTTTTCTTCAGTCGCTGTTTGTTGCGCCAGTTGTTAAGGTAGAGAGAGGTTCTATTGTGCTGACCATAGCTAGAAAGTTTGTTGAAGTAATTGGTGAGATTAGCCTTTCTTCTAGTTTGGAGGGGTTGAAGATCAGCCTCAAAAAGGACTATTTCCTTAGGGGAACTACGTCTGAGTCCAGTAATTATTCTTGCAGCACTTAGTTGAACCCTTTCCAATTTATCCAGGCTAGTGGCAGAAGCACAGGAGTACACAGGAAAGCCATATTCCAGGATGGGTCTAATGAGAGACAAATAGGTACCTCTTAACGTGACAGCATCGGCTCCCCAATCTTTGCCCGCAATATATTTAAGTAAGTTTAATCATTTTCTGCCCGAGTAGTGCCGTTTTCTTCTTAGTACCCGTGAGAGAATTAAAAAAAAAATAGAACAAGGAATAATACCGATGTTAGAGAGGAGCTAATCAGTGTAAAATGCATTTCTGCGCTATGGAAAGGTGCTGGGGAACTAATTTTGCTGACAAGTGAATCAACATTCTCTTGACCAAACTATTTGGACAATGTTTCCAAGATTGAGGCTACCCCTCATATTTTGGGCATCAAAAATTATATGCTGTCGAAAGCAAGGTATGTTTATTGAAGGAAAATATGTTTTTGCCCGATTTCGTAATTTGAAATATAGTGTTCACTAACTAATAATCAGATATCAGGCCACCCTCTCAAACTATTGAGATTTAGTCATATTATGTAATCCAATCACAAGGTTAGAAATTATTCAGAGTGCTTAGTTTTTTTTTTTTTTTTTTACATTTTGTATCACCTGGTACACACTTTTTTTTTCTCATTTATTGTAAATAGGTATATGTTGAAAAATAGAAAAGTAACTCTTCCATTGGCAATAATTAGCACTGAATAAATGAATGCATTAAAATATTATTGAATCTTTTCTTTGAAAGAATTCTAGCATTGAGGTAAAGAAATTCTTGGAAGTGTGCTGAGAAGATCCAGAGTGACAAATTTTTTAACGGTAAGTTTGTTTTATTTATATTTTTATTTTCATTTTGAGATGAGTAATTGAACTTGAAGAATGTTAGAGACTAATAGTGATTCATTTTTGCACTTAATGGTTGAAAAAATACCATCTGCATTTTCTATTAATAAAATCAACCACAGGAAACATGGGGTAATGAAAAAGATAGTAAAGAGCAAGAAATTTATACTTAGATTGTGTTCAAAATTTAAGATATTTTGTTTCAAGTAAACAACCTGGTAATTTTGAAAAATAATGAAACTCAATATTTGCATTGGAAAAGTTTGGGCTGATATAAATTCATAGTGACAGCGCCAATCAAAATTAAGAAATTATTTATGCAATTAACATATTTGGTTAGTAATGGAATTAACATATTTGGTTAGTAATGGAATAAAAACTGCGAGAACAAAAGGAATATTATTTAAGTTTTTTAGTTGCCTACTTTTTTGAGTGCTAATGTTTTAAGAAATTATTTATAATAAACACCTAGAATGTATCACTAATTCACTGATAATATTAAACTAAATTCCAAGCAAGTTAGTTTAATATTAAAATAATGTGAGGAATAAAATAAATTTCGATCATTAATTTCTTTTCTTAAGAGATACATTTGTATTTTTTCTGAATAAAATTTTAATATTAGTTTAAAAATGTAATTATACATGTTTTTATCTAGTTTCATTGTTGTTAAAAACCAATATATAAGATGATAAGAGAAAAGAAAATGACAATGAAAAAGAATAAATGCAATCTTGAAATAAATTAGTTTAAAAAAGATTCTCCTCATCACTTTAAATTTATCATTTTTTAAAATAAAGAGTGTAAATAAAGACAACCTCATTTAAATATATTGTCAGTTATAGGGAATCCTAATGAATGCATAGTAAACAAAAAAATCTTGAATATTTCTTTTGATGATCTATTGGTAATGAAAGTTAAAAAGTAAGTTTGAAACCTAAAATCTAAATCTCTGAATTTTTAGAAAGATATTTTTGAATAAATTTATTCACTGCTTAAAGAAAAGTAGGGCATGCTTGCATGTTATTGTTAGTTACTTGAGAGCTATTGCCTAACTTTGACTAGAATCAGGAGTATTGTTTAAAATATAAATCTTCCTTTATTAGCTTTAGATTTAGAGGTTTAACGTAGATATTTAATCCGCTTGAAACATGAAATATTTTCCTATACTGTATCCTACGCAGAATCTCCATAGACAGAACTAAGAGGAAAAATTTCATATCTAAAAATACGTTAGTAATTTCATGCTTCCAAAAGTTTGACAAACTAAAAAGAAACTGCTCTGAATTTTGATACCAGCAAACTAAATCTCAGGAAAAATCCTTATTGCGTAAAAATTATTGAACATGGAATTTTATAAGAATGTGTTGCTCAACTTTCCGGATTTTATATCCTGTTGTATAAAATTAATAATCTCATCTTTAAACTATATTTAAAGAAATATTATTATTTGAATTTTAATATTAATGAAACTACAATTGCGTCTTTGTATTTCATCACTTAAAGACAACTTTGTAATGAGTTAGATTTCAAACAACTCATGATTGGCCTATTAACCATCACATTAAAGAAAAGAACATTCTCAAATATTTTGATGCAAGTTTTCTTCTGCTAATTAATATATTTATTGATTAATGATCACATGTAACTTTATTTCACCTTGAATTGTGTCTTGAATCTCTGTGAAACGCACTCGTATCACGCATAACGTCATGCAGGGCACACAAATGTGTTCATAGCCAAAATAAAACTTGATTCGTCTTTGAATGCTCTTTTTTATTCCGAAGGCATTTTATGCATATTGCATTTATTTCAAAAAAATTTAATGCACATTGCATGAACAAATTTTTCGTAATTTATAATAACCATTTATAGCATTTTACGCATTTAGTACTTTTAGATTCCGAAATTACTTAAAACTATTTCTCAAACAATACGTCGAGAAGGAATGGTAACTTGCGTAGCAATAGAATCAGTACATATTATCAAAGTAGACATACTGATCAATTTAGGAGCCCATATATTACTAAACACTGAACACATAACATAATACTTAACACATTTTAATACTTAGCGCATTTACATTATACATAATACTTAACACTAAATTAATACTTAACACTAAATTAATACTTAACACTAATTAACATAATACTTAACGCATTTTGTACTTCTTTTATTAATCGTCGTTTTAAAATTACTTGATTACTTTCTTTTCATTCGGCTTGCTTGTGAAATCGATGTTTGACCTGTGACTAAGTGAGTTTTAATTTTTCTGATGATTTTGTTTGAGTTTCTTTTCTTAATTTGTTATTTGTATTTCATGTTTTTCCTGAACTTCTATACAAAATCATCGGGGTACTGAGGAAGTTAATTTAGGCATTTGCTTCTCCCTCAATTAGAAATGGTTTTGTTTTATGGCTACCGAGGCCGGTACCCCCTGAAGACGTCGGCTTCGGTGGCCATATTTTTATTTTCATTTCCTTCGTTTCCTTTATTGCTTTTTTTTAAAATTCCTGCTGCTTTTCAGCGCGTTTCTTCAACGAAGTTTTATCTATTTAGAATTAAAAATATTCGTGTTTTCTTTTAGTATTGATTTAAATAACGATATTCTAATCGCAAAACACAGGGTATACTTTATGTTAGCATTACTGCAGTTTCAAATGTGTCAGCAAAAAACCATGAAAACATCATACTTACATAATACACCAACGCCGACCGTTGTTTTTAAAGGTTTTTCTAGGGCAGGATGTAAAGCTTCACAAGTAAAGCTAGAGCCACTGGTGTCTCCTTTAGGATATAAGGTTATGGAACTTAACGTGGAATAAAGTTTTTCACCTTCCCTTCTCACTGTTGTTCTTGATGCATCTGGGAATAAACCGTATTTTTGTGTTGTATATATATATATATATATATATATATATAGATAGATAGATAGATAGATAAAACAGTTGACATAAATTCTGCTTATTTTTATTCCAAAAAAACAAATTTAATAATAGAAGAATAGAATTAGGAACCTTTGTTTACATTTTATTAAATAACTAAAAATATTTTTTAGAAGCTAGTTAACAAAATTTCTGAAGTGTTATACTTTATTCGATAGATTTGTTTTTTACATGAATCTTAATATTTATTAAATATTATTAAGGAAAAATTTTTGCAACAATTTGAAAAAATAATTGTTATAAAATTTCTGTCAAAAATCGTTTTTTTTTTCCTCATAAATAATCCTCACACAAAACGAATATTTTTCTAGAAGATACAAGCTCTTAGAAGTATTTTTATTTATTTACCAATTTTTATTTAGTGCACCTATATTACCGTTGCAATATTGGTAAATTCAAGCTATTTTATAAATCTAAATTTGAAAATGAGGGTTTTAAAATTGTTTCCAATGATTTTTGAATTAAAATAATATTCAATGAATACAAAATAAGTTGCATTAAATGATTTTTATATACAAGTTTATAACGAAAAAAAAATAATAAATATTTCTAGGAAAGATGATAGGATTGTGTTTTCCCGACAGTTCAATTTATTTTGATCAGCGTATTTGCATAGATATTTCATCTCTGAGTAATCCGAAATTCATAGACAATACGACGCCTCGATCCTCCAAATCTTTTCTCAATTTATGCTGTTTATGTAGATCACTTCGATATATATATTCTATTTCTTTCGAGATTCCGCTACAGGCAGTAGAAGATTCTGATGAGGTTCTTTAAAACTCAGTTTCTAAAAAGGGTCGATATAAGCCATTATTGCGAAGAAACTACCCATAAATTCAAAAACTACCACCTTTAACCAGCCATTAGAATCTCATCTTATTACGGTGAATTGAAGAATTTCTTTCCAAAAGTCTCAAACAAAAAGTAACTCTCATGAGTATCATTATGTACATTTTTATGTCCCTGAATTTCTTGATTTTTATTATTTTGGAACAATTACACGCGATGTGTGATACATGAAAAAACACTTGCAAATGTTTGCCAATAGTCAAAATCGTTTTTTGGGTATTAGACAGCTAACATTAAGGAACGGATGATATTATTAAAAAAATGACAAGAAAAAAATATGTTTCCCTGAATAATTTTTGTTCCTATAATATGATTTTCAATAAGTGGTAGGGTTTAAAGGGTTGATCTCTAAAATGCTAAATATTAATATCGTATGAGAATCAGTCTTTAAAATTAAATCTCAAAATGAAGAGTGGAGAAGTCATTAATTTTCTTCCTTTTTTGCATAATTCTTCAGAACTTTTTAAATCTTTTCTTTTTAAATCTTTTAAATAAATATTGCTTTACCGAATGTTTCCACGCAGCAAATATTTCTAACAATTATTCATTATTTTTTTAAATTTGCATTTAATAGTTGTCGAGAATCTTTTCAACTGTAAGATATATTAATATTTTATCAGTTTAAGGAATGTTATTTCAATAGGCAATGTTCGGCTTAAATTTAGATTTATCATTTAAATTTAAGTTCTTTAAAATGTTTTGAAATTTTTATGCCCTAGAATTCAATATTTTTCGATTATTTTCATAAATAATAATAAAATAATGATATCTAATTCTTAAAATTAGTTTTGCGAAAAATTATCTTTGAATAAAGGAATTTTGTAAATGAATGCGAAAATTTTTCGATACACATAAAAAGCTCTCGAGCTATGGTGAAATATGCTAAAACTGAAATTAATATTAAATTCCCAAAATTTCGAACACTCTCCTGTCCAAACTCTGTTAGAACTATATGTTTTAATTGAAGCTAACTCCGTATTTTGAAAATCAAAAACCCAAATCCATCAAGAGTTAAATCCGTTTATTAAAGGAAGAGTGTTTTTCCATCTAACTTTCTAACTAATTTTGCATCTAACTACTTAATAATGAACTGTAGTAAATTACCATATTTGAGATTATGACTAAGGACCATTAATACTGAGAATAAAAGATATTGAAAAGGATAGAAGTTATTCAGTGTGATATCTTTTTAATTTGGGTCATCTTACTAACAATTATATTGTTGTCATGATTACGAAGCATTATTAATTCCTTAGGAAAAATTATTTAGGAAAATAATTATTTAAAAAAAAATTTAATAAATAATTTTGATCCCCAATGATTTAAAGTTTAATGTAAATCAACTAATTACGTGGAATTCTAATGTTTCTAAAAATGTTTATTTAAATCCTAGTTTTAAAAATAACGGTTACTCATCATTGATATTTTTTACCGTCCAACTAGGGAGAATGTGGGACTTAAAATTTTAAAACTAACCAGCTATCTCTTCCAATATTATTCAATAAATATTAATTATTTCAATAAAAATCCTGGAATTAAAATGTATTTAAAATCCGACCACTTATTAATTACAAACTTTGAATTATCCATTCAAATATGCCATTACCTTGCGCAATTTCAGTATTTGGTTCAATCCAAGGTCAAATCAACCGCGGTTCTTTAGTTGCTCCTTAAAACTATATCTTACTACTCTCTATTTATTTTAATTTCAGTTGGAAATCTGGAAATTTAGTAGCGGAAATACTTTAGATAATAGTAATTACAATAGTAAGATATTAGTAATTACATGACATCCGTTCTGCCCTTTGGATTTTTCTTTCCTTTTATGCTCCAATTCGGGTTTTGCTTTGTAGTTTTCGCGAATTCTTCAGATTTTTACTAGATAAACTTTATTTTCGAATCCATTATTTTACTTTTATTTATTCTTTTTACACTTTTGGAGCTTCTCACACTATTGCATTGATATATTTTTTTTAGGTATCTTAATTTGATATTAGAAAACACTATTTTTGCGGATACACTGTGGAAGAAGGAAAGCAGTAAAATGGTTTGGTCTTTATTTCTAGTTTCGTTTGCGTGTAAAAAGAATGGTTTTATTTATTTGCATTTTTTCCTTTATGGATTTAAAAAAGAAATATTATTTTTTTTTAACAATTTATAGAATACTTATAACTTTTTTTCTTGAATGATATAAACAATTTAACTTTTGTAAGGTTCTTTTCTTATTCTGGGTTTGTAATTCAAAAGTTTTTCTTATTTTCATTCTTAAAGTTTTTTTTTTATTATCAATGCTGACAATAAAATTTAATTTGCATTCTTTTTGCAATTATCTTATAAAATGCCAGCTAAAAGCACATACTTTATTATTTTCTTATTAGTAATTTAATTTTTGTTATCTGTTAGCTTAGTCAATTTATTTTAAACGTAGGCATTTTACTTTATATAAGTATGTTTTTCTTCATTTTTTAATTTTTTAATTTAAAACTCATTTACAATTACATTATTATTACACTTTGTGAGGCATAAAGAGTAATATTTATCTTCGGATAATTATCCTTTTTATCGAAATGCCTCCCTCGTAAAGGAATGCATCATGTAGTGAACCTTCACGTTTATTAAATCAAGTTTTTATAATATAATTCCATTGTCCTTTTAATATATATATATANTATATATATATATATTACAAAATTACACATATATGTATGTAATTTTGATATGTTTTAATACTTTTATTGAAAAATTAAATCTATACAAGGCTATTAAATTTATTTATGATTTTTTTCGTCTCCAAATCCTTAAAACGTTATTAAATAGCTCTAAAATAGAAATCCTTCAGCCTAAACTTTGAAAAGAGCCTCTTATTATTTTCGCAGCTGTTCGCTAGCTATATTTCCAAACTTAAACTTCTTTCAAAGCAATTCAATTATTTGCAGTAAAAATATCTAAAAATATCTGTTCAAGACGGTACCAAATATCTGTAGTGAGAAAATCCCAAAGAATAGAGGTTTTCAAGAGTTTACAACACTTTAAAAGGAAAAAGAAAATTGGATTCACAACTTTAGATATGAACTGAAAAGTGCTATACTGAGGCATTTCTTATTCTTAACGTATTACTACTGATTTTTAAAATATTTTCAGTAAGAAGGAACTGTTACTGGAAATATTTGAAGAATTTGTGTTAGCCGTAAGAAAAATTTGAAAATAGTATGACATATTTGGCCCATACGCGTAGGTGAGGAAACTTCATTTTCTTTCAGGTAAAAATCTTTTTAGAGCTTTGAATATTGGTTAGAAAATTTCTTCGATTCCTTAGAAAACATTCCTTACGGTGTATTTCAAAGCAGCTGCATCAGTTCTCTCCTCGTTTTTCAATAAATGAAATGGAGAATTTGAATTCAAAAGATATCTTTATTGCAAGACAGAAAGCCGTTAATATGTGTTTTATATATTTAGATAGCAATATGTTTATCGATAGTAATAATTTAAATTCTGATTATAAATTGGTTTGATGGTTTATATTTATATACGTTACTGTGAAAGTGGTGGTTGTTGATAATAGCAGAGTAGCTTTGGTAAATGTCTGAAATATATCAAGTTAAGTCTAGTTATGTCTAGTTAAGTGCCACTGCCCGGTATACATTTGCTCGGTATGCCTTACATAAATGTTTTTTTTTTTTTGAAGTCAAGTGCCACTGCTCAGAATGCCTTTAACCGGTACTCCGAACACTAATGATTCTCCTAATCTATTCTCAGCAGATATTAAAATATCGAATAAATATAATACAGCTAAACCCAGCTATAGTAAACTCCCAGATATAGTGAACGAAATGCTCGCTCCCGTGCTGTGCTACACGCGTATAATGCTATTTTTTGTGGATATAGTGAACCAAAAAAAGATAGGAAGTTGGATATTATGAACTTTTTTCTGTTGTTGTTGTTGTTTTCGTATGCCTGTTAAGGCAGAGGGGAGCGAATGTTCCTTTTTTCTAGTGGCGCCATCTATGGCCAAGAACTCGACTTCTGCCACACCCATACGTCGCGCTCGTTTATAGGGCGGACTTTTTTCAGTCATAGACTGATTTATTTTTTTCATCTTTTGTAATAATTTTGAAATTTTTACTTCGAAATAAATGCATATACTGCTTTTTCAAATCATTAACAGCATGGAATGTAGCAAAAAGCATTTTTCTTGTTTGCTTTATTATTGAAAATCATTTTTGAATTGGTTCAGCATTCAGAGAAGCCGCAAACTTCCAGTATATTTACAGATGCTTAAAGTCAAAGCTGATGAATTTGCTGAGACTACTTTTATGTGCTGGAATGGCTGGTTAGACAGGTTTAAAAAGTAAAATAACGTTAATTCCGGAAAGTTGGGAGTGTTATCGGAGAGTCGGGAAATGCTTCCATATCTGATGCTGAGGGTAGCTCATCAGCTAAAGATTACTATTTTTTTTTGTTCGCAAGACGAAGAGTAATAAAAAATAAAAGTTAGCACATTTTTGTTGCTACATATTATTTTTCAGTTATTTTTTAATTTCATTTTATTGGTCATTTATTCATATAATGTGTGATACGAGAGGATGTTTAGAACTATTAGTTAAAATTGCTTGCTGAACGGATATAGTGAAGTCCCGGTTATGGTGAACCGAAATTTCGGTCCCATGAAGGCTCACTATAGCGGGATTTGACTGTAATATCAACGAGTCAATTAATAGCAAAGTAGATATAACAAATATTCCGGACTTTTACCAAAGCGTATTGATTGTTGACATTCACCGAGGGAAAGTAAGCTGACAGTCTCTTGATTTCGGTCGGTTATTTACGGTTACACACACACACACACACACACACATATATATATATATATATATATA